TTCCTAGACTATCATGAGTCGATCTACGGTAAATATATAACAATTGCTGTAGGGTGGTGGTGGGGGGGGGGGGTCGTGTTTTAGGACACTCTATTTTGCCTTTGGATTTAACTAATGATAATTATTAAATGGCACCGACCATCATGAGCATTTGTGCTTTATAACATTGTTAATTATAACTCTCAAATGATTTGTGAAATATAACTTGTAATCTTCTTCAAAATTAAATTGCCGTTGTCAATATATATTTTTAAATCGAGTGTACTGTGACTATACCGATTAACGGACTTTTGAATACCCTAGTATTTTAAATTTACTCCGATTAATTTTCAGATTTAGGGTATAGTTGTAGAATTTGTAGAATAGTTTCTTCCTCGAGCCATAAACTTTCACAAACTTTCTCAAATAATTACTCGCTCACAGTTGTTATTTGCATGCCACGAGTTTCTCACGAATTATTCTCGCGAGTTTCATATTCCGTTTGAGGAGACCAAAACTATAAATTAAAAAATATACAAGTTTAACTGGTTCCCCATCCCCATGACACACGAATTCTAGCCCACTATGAGCCATGCATATTATTTTGTCCTTCCACACACCATGTAGTCGTGCAGAAAATGTGGTTGGGAGTTGCGACTCTCGTGCTCTCCCCCATAAAAATGGTCTCTCCCTTGTCGAATCTTTTTCACATACACGCAATCAAAAATAGCATGATAAAATTACATTTTGCGGAGGGCTGGATGATGAGTATTGATTAATGAGTCATAGATGAATGAGAAGAGAAAATAAGAAGAAAGAAATACAATTTTCGTCGTGGATATTGAATTAGGGCACAACTCCCGCCAAATGGCAAATCGGGGATTCCCCCATCCCCATGAGCGACTGAGCGTGCGCATGGAAACGTAACATTAGTACGGTGTACCAAGCTGTTATACTCACGTTGGCTTTGCTCAGGGATAATAGACAGACAGATACTTGTATAAACCTACAATTCATACAATAATGTGAAATTTCACTTTGTTTACTGCAATCAAGGTATGAGTCTCATTATTATGGAATATCTATGTTTGTATTATACTTGATTGGCTTAATGTTCTTTTATTTAACTATAACGATGTGTAACATTATGTTTATCAATGTCGATCACGTAAAACTACGACTCTGCAAATATTATGTATTGACTGTTGGGGATACTCGGAAAATATTATTCACAAACAGAGGACAGGGTTTCATGCGGTATATCTTTCTGGGAAGTATATACGGTTTATAATGTGTATGTCACTCTAAAGATTTGTGTTTGATAACTGACTGTTGTTGCATCAGGAACAAGTGCAAAGAGCATTGTTGAGGAATGAAGTAAATTATTTTTGTAATAATTATTTTGTTTATCCTGTTTTCTTTGCATGGTATTGTTCAAACATGACACTTGATCTGGGACTATGTTTAAAGATAACGTACTGCTCAATTCTTTTAGGTGTCCCCTGCGAATGGCTGATTCCCGTTTGTTTTTCTTTTGTTAACAAAGACGGAACATAATGTTTATCTATTTAAATATCTCTCAAAGTAAATATTGGTTCTGAAAAAACGACAACAACCGTTAATATTCAAAGTATGATCTTACCTCTTTTTATCAACTCATACTATTTAAAAAACTTGAACTTGGTACTTTTTATGATATCACATATGATTATGTAGACCTATAATCTAGTATAAAACTATCAATATTAGATAAGGTGTATTTCAAGTTCATCTACCTTATTATCAGTATCGCTATATATATATATTTATTATATTTAGTACTGTTATGGCTACCCCGGCTAAATAAGACCAAATATTTATTTTCATAGTTATCATGAAAACAATAAAGATGATTCGTGTGCAGGGAGAATAAGGAACCACTATGAACGTAATTATACACCTAAATACAACATATCCAACCAATTCAGTATGTGTTAAGGGATACCCACTAAAGGGTAGTGTTTAAATGTGATCATGATGTATAAACACAGCGTGTTATTTGATGTTTACAGGATAGGGCAGACAATTCATCATATCTGAAAAGTTGTCAACCCTGACAAGCAGTAAACAACCAAAACAAACGCATAATAAAACATTCTTGATAATAGCCGATGTGATTAATCCCTTCGTTAGTTCAGTTTCTTTTATCAGAAAATCAAAAGCTTTTTATCAACACGAGTATTTAAGAGTATATACTCACATTTAAATAAGAGGAGGAGAAAGGAAGAGGATATACAAACATTCAAATCCTACAACCGGCTACATAATATTGTCGAAAGAAGAATGCCGAGACACGTTTGTGTTTTCCCCGAAGTTTTCCTTTTCGTGAATACTGCCGCGTAGTTCCTTGATAATATATTGAGTAGGTATTCGGAATTTCCCCTTTTAAAATAAAGTGCAAACCTTTATTTGTGCAGTAAATTTCTCACGGAAACAAATATCCTTATGTCAGAATTCACACCTAAATAATAAATACCTACTGAGGCGAATGAGAATTGTTATCGACCATTCAAATGTTTGAAGTTTGTTGTGGTGCTTCTACTTCAGATATTTTCTCAACTTGGAAAAACAAATATTTATTTGCTGGTACTGCTGTCATTGAGTAAAGAACTACGAGAGTTATGTTAACCTTGCATCTTTGGGAAGGGAAATTCCCCCCCAAATTTACATTGTCCTCACTTGTATACCGTGTATTGTCGATCTGTAGATCGCGGAATTGAATTCTATAAAACATAGGTACGGATTTACAAAAAGAGACTATATTTCCATTATATCCTAACGGTTGTTATTTCCTCAAAAATTTGACAGGATTTGTGCTTGTGCAATGAAATAAAATATATGTGTGTCTGTTATGCGGGCATCTTTAAACAGCTTTTGTATTTTTCCGTAACGGCTTCTGCCATTAATCAAAATATGTTTACTCGATCATATAAAAACACCCCTCTCTTCAAAATTAATTTTCAAGGTAATCCGTCAGCTTAGGTAAACTTCAAAATTTGATACTTTTGTAAACAAACTTTTATGTTAAGATCGTGACGTCAATGGTCTTATTGTAAAATGGTGTGGAGGAATACTCACCGTAGCATGAAAAGATTGATAAAAATAATAATTATAATAAAATAATAAAAATAGTGATATTATTAATAATGATAATTTTGTTCATCTGAAGAAGCCTCATTAGTAGCAATGCTGCTCTTCGTGTTGGCCCTGTTGTTATTATTACCCCAGGAATTGCCAGGTACCCATTTACACCTGGCTAGAGAATGGCGAATATGGATTAATGCCTTGCCAAATGACGTTAGTCCCGTGCTGGGATTCGAACCCTCAATCCTTGGACTGAGAGTCAAGTAAATGAACCACAATACCACGACAATTCCTAACAAGTGACCTATCTGTATCAGTTATATTTGGGGGAAACATGTCATCTGCTATGATAACTACAAAGTAGACCCCACTTCTAAAAAAAAAAAAAAAAAAACAGTGGTGTAAATTTTGATTGTACATGATTATGGGTAAGGTGAAGAAAGATTTTGATATGCCTTTAATGTGTTATGGGAGGAGTTAACATGGGAGGGGGCGGTATAACCTGAGTTACACCAACGAGACCGACGCCAGACCGACACCAGTCCAACCACAGACCGGACAAGACATTACATTACCACCAATGGCAAAGAATCGGTCGGTTTAGAGTCGGTCTGGGGTGTTTGAAGGTGTGAACGAAGTTTTAGTATCTATTATTCAACATAAAATGAAGTTTTCATCCTACAATCTGGCTTATCAGTGATATTATGTATTATTATTTACCATTCTTATGAAGAATGCAATAATGACGTCATAATTTCTGGGGAAATGTAGCATATCGGAGTATAGACATGTTATTAAAAGTTGTCTCTTCCCACCCAGGTTTTCAGTGGGATCAGAACATGATTCATTCCCTGAAATGCATGGTGCAAGGACACAATAATTAGTCCACAGCCTGCGTGGACCGTTTCCATGTCGCGCGCGCAATCATCTGAAAATAACACACCCTCAATGCTGATCCGATGATAGGAGTCCTTGCCTAACGTTCTTTTCGGCGGTTGTTTGGGTAATCGCGCTTTGTGTGGGATGCATGTGATTGAAGAATAAAAAAATATAGAAAAACGGACAGAATCTGGACTAGGATAAAATGTGACGAAGGAAAGAACATACTTTTCGTGCTATTTAAATCGAAATGGCAAACACACGTGAAAGCCTCATAAAATGAGAGAAGAAAACAAAAGAACGGAAAGAAGAAGAAGTAGTCACAAAAGTTGAACACGAGGCGTCATTTTGCTGACCTAGGACTGCGTCGGGGAAAGATTGACGCGCTATATCAGAGTGACATCGTACTAAAAGAGCATATTACATGGAAAACTGCAAACACGGTGTTGAATTATTGGCGCATCTGCTAAGTTGTTCATAGGCTTGATTAGCTATAAGCGATGCATTCGAAATGACGTCCCGTTTTCAATTGACATTATGATACTAATGGTTATCATTTATTTCATTGCGTCAGATTGGCGTAGGTAAAAAAAAAAACGCAATCGAAATGACACCTCGAGTGCAACGGACTTTGCGTAGGTAAAGAAGCATTCGAATAATACCTCGTGTACAAAGGAAATTGTTGTTTTGTATTATGTGAATTTATTGGCCATAACATAACATTTTTACACAATTTGTTATCTTTCATATTAACGGATTTGGAACATATTATACAAAGTATATAGGTAATTGATAATCGACTGATTTATACTTTTTGCGAACATACTGAACATAGTAATACAAAGATTGTCAACATACAGTGTATGTAATCGCAAACCCTGTTTTTCTTATGTTTAAGTATTACATGGTACATTAAAATAGCATTTGCATTAAAAAGAATCACAGGTCATTCAACCATTAACAAAATATGGGCATTAGGGTAAAATTAATGATAATATTTAATTGTTTCCTTTCGTCAGCTCTTTAGACGTATTGGAAACCGGTAGACAGGATGGCACATTCAATGATGTCAAGCTACATAATATCGAAGCCACCAGGTTACAAGGAAGTAAAATCCGATGGAGACAGCATGACTCCACCTGCCTCTCCTACCACGGATCCAACCGACTCTCTGAAGAACGGCCATAACGGAAACCAATCATCAGCAAAGGACGACGTCGACGGCGGTGGCGAGAACGACGACGAGAGGAAGGTACCGCGTGCCGAACGCGGTGACGTCGGCATCGTGAATGGGATATTAAATGATGGCAAGGAAGACAAGATCAACAACCAGTTGATCCTCCCGGTGGATGATGTCGTAACCGACGGGGCGGGGGAGAAGAACTCGCTACCGGTGGAGCGAAAGAAGGGCGTGGTCGAGAAAGGGGTGCAAGAAAGGAAGGGTGTGGTCACGAAGGACGTGATGGATGGTGGAGCTCAGTGTAACAAAGGTGGCGTGGAAGAGAATGGGGCACCACCCGTCGAGTCCCAGGGACACCTGGATCAAAGAAAAGAGGTAAAGAATGTGAGGTTTATGTATTATAAAATGTCATTTGATTTATAGTATATTTTAATAGTCAGAATGCAATTTGAATAAATTAAATGTTGTTATGTCGGGCAATCAATGGATTTTAGTACTGAGCAACAATTATTGCATGCAATTCGCATCCAGACTAATAAGATATTCGTAACCAGAAGTATATGAAACTAGAAATGCAATCGTGATCAACGATATGCGTGCAATGACGACCGTGTATCTACGTGTCAAACAAAAGAGCTTATCTAGGACTATCCGTAGCAATCTGTAAAAAGTCTGTAGCTTCTGTGCTAGTGAAGATAGGTAGGGCGAAAGAAAGGCCTCAAAAACGACCCGAAACGGACATAATGGCGCCTGGACGGTCACGCATGAATGATTCCGGAGAACGAAGATTTCAGTCACCTTGATGGGATGCGAGAGTCTAAGCCTAAGAAGTTTGAAAGGAATTGCGATAGCGGAAAGGAGCTAGAAAGGGCTCGCAAGCACTGCGTGAAAAACGAATGGGATTAAGATAAATGAAGAACACCTGATAACGCTTGCTGTGCCTGTCTGCCTGAGTATAAAATGGCATCTAAAAAAATGGACCCCTTGACAGATTTAAAAACCCGGCTTCAAAAAGCCCTGCGTTTGGCCACTCAGAGTATGCTTGCAAAATTTCAAGGAAAAAGAAGGAGGGAAAGGGGGCGAAAAGCAGTCTGAAAAATGACGTGATAGCCGATGCGTGTTATAACTCGTATTGAGGTACTATACAAAAAAAGGTGTCCATTACATTAGGCTACATACATTACGAAAATAGCCATTTGCCATTGCATAGTAGCATGGGGATATTATTTACAGCATTACATAATTGGCCTATGACATTCACAACATTCTATGATTCGGCATCGCTTTATGATTATGAATGAGTTGTGTCTTTTGTAGGCATATTTTGCCATAGGTAACGACACTTGATGGCAATTTTGGTATAGGTCCTTGCTCACTCACACACCCAAACATTCACAAAAGCATTTATTGGAATTCCTTGATTTTATTCAATAAAATGAAAGAGGCATTTAGTTATGAATGTTGTGTGATTATATTTTCCACTCCCAGTGTAAATCGAGTTTATAAACTTTTCAAGATGACGAAGGGATTTCGTCTTTCAATTTCGTATGGTGACCTAATTGACATTTATGTTTTCTTTTCATATTTATATTTTACGTAGGCTTACCAATGGTTTCTGTAAAAATTTTGTTCTTAACGGTCGGATGACATCCAAATATAAGTTGATTCATGTTGATGTGCAGGACTGCATACAACTTATATTTCGTTATTCAATCATCTAAATATGAGTTGTATGCAGCCACGCACATCAACAGGAATCAACTTATATTTGGATTACACCCGACCTTTAATGTCCTTTCGATATTTGGCATATATAAATATCGGTTTTAAGAAAGACTGAAGGCCTAATAAATACGCTTAATGACAAGCATATTTATTTTATCATGATTGATCTTTCCAAAAAGTCCAGCGGTACTTTTTGGCGGATATTGCGAAAGAGCTAAAGTAATAATTTCTATGAACTATCTAGTCTTTTGAACTATACAATATACTGTTAGTATTTACCATATTTCGTTTCGGTTCTTATTTCATTGTTTACTACGTTTTTCATATTTTTAAGAGGAGTGTTTCTACAATTACAAATTTTTCAAGAATATGTTATATATATATTATTACTTTATTATAACTAATCTTTAAAGATGAAGTAGAGTTCTAGCCATGCGATTGCATTGTAAAAGAAACTGTCTGAAGGCGATTGGAAAAGGTCGATTGTCTGGGAGTGATGTGTACTGTGAGGTTTTGGAATCACCAAAAAAAGATTTTTAAACATTTACTCAGTCTTTCTGAAAAGCACGTTCCTTGGACACAGAGATATGTATATGGGACTACGTAGATATAACACATGAACATTTAATCGAAACACTGGTCAGCTACAGCTAGTCATATTTTATACTCGAGGGCATTTTTAGAACCATCCTTATCTGGGGACATTTCTATTCTATGGTTCCCAACACTATCATAAAAAGAAAGGGCTCATTATTGATTTTCACCTTTTTCAGAACTCTCCATCTCTTTAAACATTCCTCTCTTTAAAACTCTATACCTTTTCATTTGTTTCATTGCCATGATACCACAGAAGGCGATGACCACCACGCACCGAGATGTCAGCGAGGAGAACGTATACGGGCTCATCGACGTCATCGAAGAAGATATGATGTCGATAACGATTGAAGTAGGCGGGGCCACTGATCGACTGGTAGAAAATGTGAAGACTTTTCTTCCTCACGTGTTGTACATGCTCAATGAAGTGACCACACTTCGGGTAGGTCTATGGATATCATTCGTAAGAAAACATAAAAAATGCAGATGTGAAGAATCGCCATTTAATCAGGTTTATTGCTTTAGCATCTTTTAATGTTTTAAGTTTAACATGCAAATATCTGATTCTCTTGTCTCAATTTTAGGCCATACAGTATATCAGGTATATACATGCAATACTATTACTTTTCACCAACCCTTATTCCCCCCCCCCCCCATAAAAAAAAAAAAAAAAAAAAATGTCTATAAAGTAAACGGATTTCTTTGCATAATTTGAATACTAGGACACTTCTAATGTTTGAATTTCACAGATAGGACAAACGTGACATATTCATAACTCATGAAAAGTTCTACAGAGTTCTACAGAATTTGATATTGGCTGCAAATGGGACATAGTACCTTTAATGGATCTACCCTTTTCATAATTTTTCTGTTTTTGTTTTAAAAAAATGGAAGGCGAATAACTCGATTATAAACATGTTATAAACAAATTTAATGATATACGGTATGTTGCAATCGGGGATATTTAATTCGTCATAATGTTCTTCCTGTTGTTAGCTATACCATGCTGGTTTGGTTATGAACGTAATGGTTCGTGCGAGCTATGACAAAAACACACACGAAACAAAACAGAAACAAGAAACAACTGCAAAGTTTAAAAAGATAAGGTCATAACCCACACAAACCATTATCTCCACTCTTGAATATACAACTTACATTCAAATTGCCAAATAATCAGGCCACCTTAATTGCGCCAAAATATGATAATTATTTTCACCTTATACTTCAAAAAATTGTACAACCCCCCCCCCCCATATTGGACACAGTATTGCTCCTAGTTATTGGTCAGACCCTGAATTCTCTTCAGTTTGGGCAACATTTTTTAGAGTGCTACATAATTATTTAAACTTTTATCGTATCAGGTAGGGCTTTCTCGAAAATCAGGTCCACTGGATTCCACGAGATTTGAATGAAACTATCCTGCTAAAATGAATCATGAATGAATAAATAAAATTGATAAAACCTTAGGCCACTTACACAATAGAAAACAGTGGCTGTTGTTGATATTGCCGTTATTATTTTATAAGTAGTATTATCATTAGTAGTAGTAGTATATATATAGTAGTAAAAGTGACAGTGGTAGTAGTAGTATAAGTCGTAGTAGTATTATTATTAGTCGTAGTAGTAGCATTGGTAGTAGTAGTAGTAGTAGAAGTAGTAGTGGTCAAAGTATTTGTAGAAGTACAAGTAGTAGTAGTCTTAGTAGAAATCGTAGAAGTAGTAGTAGTAGTAGTAGTAGTATTAGTAGTAGTAGTAATAGTAGTAGTAGTAATAGTAGTAAAAGTAATATTAGTAGTAATAGTTGTAGTAGTAGTAGTAGTAGTAGTAGTATAGTAGTATAGTAGCAGTAGTTTTTGTAGTAGTATCAGCATTATCATCGAATTAGAGATTACTATTCGTATCTTTTAGGGCACGGTGAATGACTTCATCCTCGAGAAGAGAAGCCTTCAGAAGGAGGTCCGTCAGTTGAAGAAAGAGATTGGAGAAAGGTTTGTATGAAGATTTTAATTATCTCTGACATTTATTCCAACATAAAAATTACAGAGGATTAACATTAATTGTAAATCTATAATTCTTTATTAATGGGAGGGAAATGTTTGAAACCTTGTCAACAAATTTAGATAACTTGTTCTTTGTTGTGACAATTTGGAGCAACAACATTATCATCATTATTGAATTTAAATTAATCATTCATATCTTTCCGAAAGTTCTAATAAACCACAATCTCTTCATATCTTGGTGATTCACTTATTTTTCAATTTATTGATTTATTAGTTGTTTTTTTTAATTATTTATTATCTATTTATTATTTATGTTTATTCATATACTTTATTTATCTATTCAAGTAATTAATCATTCATATATTAACTGATTCATTCATAATTAATCAAGGTATTTATCTATTTATTTACGGGTATTTTAAATTTACACTTACAGGGATGCCAAAGATGCTACTTTTTGCTCCCCTTCTCCAGGATATGTAAAACTCGTTTCAAGCGTCAATCCGATTCTGGTAGGTAAAACATGTTTGTCCCATATGCAACCCCTATTTTTGTGATTAAAAAACACAGTAATTCCTGTTTCACAGTCACATCAGAGCTTTAGCTGTGGGGACAAGGGGCCACGTGCCCCAAATCCAATTGGAAAAAACAGGAGGGGTAGGAAGAAGGAGAAGGAGGAGAAGAAGAAAAAGAAGAAGAAGAAGAAGGAGAAGAAGAAGATGATGAAGAAGAAGAATTAATGATAATTAGGAAAATGATTTAGAAGAAGGAGAAGGAGAAGAAGAAGAAGAACACGAAGAGCAAAAAAAGAAAAAGAAATATGAAGGATAAGAAGAATAAGAACGATAAAAAGAAGAGGAATATGTTGTTCTAGCGTTGTAGCTTAATAAAACCAGATTGTGATCCATTCGGAGAGAAGAAGAAGAAGAAGAAGAAAAATTAAAAAGAAATAGAGGAAGAATTAAGAAGAGGAAGAAGAGGAAATAATTATTCCTGCGTTGTCGCATATGAAGCCAGACTGTGACCCTGTTAGTAATAGATCCAGAGGGGATATCGGAGACGTGCCCATCTTTCTTTTCTGTCCAAGTTCCCGAGCACATATTTTGGCTTTGAACACCTCTTTTGAGTTCAAAATGTTTAGGTCTCTTCCATAACATGCCCGTACCCCCCCCCCCCCCCCCACACCCGTCATCAGTCTGATCCACGTCCTCTTGATCTCCTTCTGTCCGGAGGCACGCCTGGGGCACATCCCCCTTGCCGGAATGGCGAAGAAAAGGGAAGAAAGAGAGGCGAAAAGACTTGAAGAGAAGACTATAAGAACCTCCCTCACACCCTCTTCATATCCAATGACCATGCTTTGGGGTGGCGTTTCATGTTTTGGGGGAACGCTACCCCTCCCCCAGTGCCAGTGCCCCTTTTAATAAATGAACCCTGCTACGCCACTATGTTATTGTATCTTGTCATGTGCCCTCCAGCCAGGATGAATAGAGAGAACAGGAAATTACACCCAAAATATCTCATCTGATTCAAACGACGTCATTGCGGCTTGAGGTAGTAAATCGACCTCATTTCTTCGGTTTTGGGGAAAGTCCATTAACCCTTGCAATCCAATTCAATCCACAAGAAATTTGCTCTAGTGCCTTTTATTGCAGGAAGCGCTGCATAGTTTGCTCCATAATAAGGATCTCTTAACTTTTAATTTATCTTTTAATCCTTAACTGAACTCTCCCATCATAACGGTCAATATATTGGCACTAACGGGACAACACATTCGAACATGTCAGTTTTGTATTTTGCAGTTGTATTTCTCAACCGATATTATGCCTGAAGATTTAATTCTGTGAATATGTTAAGCAACGTACTTATGTTTTAATGTCATAAACATAAACATTATCATGATGAGAGAGTTTGGTTAAGGATTAAAGAAATAAGAACAGTCGTGTCAAACGTTGCTTATTTTTGTGACGTAAAAGTGTGTCAGCTGTTGATATGCTAGAGCGCCGCAGCGGGGCAGCGCAGTGGCGGATCCAGGGGGGGGGGGGGCCCATAATGTTTTCCTGGCATCTACTTACATCTAGAACCCCCCCCCCCCCCACTGAGCGAATTTTTGGCCGGCGCGTTTTTCAAATTTTCGGGAGCAAAAAAAAAAAAAAGTTGGGCCCCCTCCCCTAAGAAATCCTGGATCCGCGCCTGGGGCAGCGCCAGGAGCGTCACAACGTGACGGACATGTGCGCTATATAAGAAACCACCAATATTATGTACAGAGATTGAATGCAAAGTGAATACTGCAAACGTTGGTTCAAATTATACTGGCATACACACTACCTGCCTTCAAGCTTGCTTAGCATAGGTTCATGTATGATAACGCAATCGAAATGACGCCTCGTGTTCAACAGGCGTAAGGATTAAAGGGAAATCGATTTAGGCGTTTGTTGAGTATAAGGGATATAAGAAGATGCATCCTCTAAAGAGAATCCTATTAAAATAGTCCCAATGCCTTGACTAATAACCGTATTTCTAAGATACGCATTATGACCGTTTCAAACGAGGCTTCATTTTAATTGCGCTAGTACCTGCGCTAATCAATCCTATATAGACAATTAGCGCATACGCCAGTAATTCTACGTAGTGTGTGCACTGTTCATTTCACTCTTATGCTTTGTACAATGTCCCTGTCACATGGTGCGTCAAAGATCACGTCATTCGTTGACGCAGCAATACGTCAGTAAATGACGCATCGTGTGCAATGCACATACCAATCATGCTCTTTACTCTCCCCAGGATGGCAAAGGTACAGATGGCACCGTGACGACCGATCCGACTCAGAAGCAAGCTTCCGGTGAGGATGATCGGATGAAGAAAGAACTGAAAAAACTTCGGAGCCAAAATAAAGAGGTATTCAACAATAGTGTATCTGGGTCATTTTGAATAGGGTGCATAGCTGCATGCCAAATTTTCCGACATCACATTCCAACGAAAAAAACGCAAAGAATGAAAATAAATTGCCCATCAGCCCACAGAAAAACACGTCAAGGGCCCCTTCGTATATAACGAGTTGTGATTGATTCGAATCGATGGCAACTTCAAATTCTAATTCTTATTCTTATTTCTTAAGTAAATAGTTGGGATTAATTCTTAATGTACGAATCGTTTGCATCAATTGCAACTCTTTATAATACAGGGCCCTGATCTTGATGTTTGCCAACACATTGCTGTATTTTTTACCCCCCCCCCAAAAAAAAATTGCTGTCAACCGTCTGAACCCCATTCCCTCTCTGGCAGCGATGTTAATATTTTCACATACACCATAGTCATAGCTTTTTATGCAGTTGCTATAAATATTATTGCATTAATGTGTTATTCTACTAGCGTATATGGTTCAGTGTTGGGGAGGCTAACAAGGAGGATTTTGATTTGACTTCTTCTAAAAAAATACATTCGGGAACTTAAAACAGGTTACTACGACATTGTGTTGATCTAGTCCTCCAAAAATGAAAAATAGAAAGAGGAAGCGATTAAAACAAATGTAATGAGGAAACGATTTTTTTTTAAAATTCACTTCACACGATGTGCATTCACCCATCAAGGATTTTGGACTATTGAATGGAGAACATATTCAGAGAGTGACGTCTTTCAAATCGGTACCATTGTTACTTCTTCGTGCAACTATTCATCTTTACAATGTACTCCCTTTTCATGGTTTTTCTTTTGTTAATCCTTTTCTGTTGATCCCCATTTCTGGTTTTATTGATAAAACGATGAGAGAAAAAAAGTGACATACTTTTTTCCTCAGTTTTATCTTGTTCTTTTAATGTAACCTTTCTTAAAATTGTGATGATTGTTAAATGTTATGTTGAAATGTAATTATTTTGTCTGTATTTATATATTTATATTGGTATGTACATGTAAAGCACCTTTAAATGTCCGAAGGCAAATTTTATGTATTTTTTACATGACAATAAATTATCTTATCTTATCTCATCTTATCTAACGTCGAAGATTCGTTCAGACAAACAAAAAGCTTCATCCAAGGCGCATAGGTGTGTGTGTGTATGTGTGTGAGGAGGGGGTGGGGGGGGGGGGTATTAGCTGCCCTCAGTCAGAGTCTCGATCTTCCCCAGTTATAAATTAGATCAGGTGACACCACTGCAGACAGCCATGGCATTACTAGAATCATGAGGAATTTGGGAGGTTTTGGTGTCGGATAAAATCTGCATAGTACTCCCCCTTCCCACAATCAGAAATATCCTCAGATACTAGAACTTGCCGACAAGGATATAAAGAAACGTACATTTTTGTCGATAATAATGGGGTTAACCAATAAATGCTCTGAGTGGAGCGTGACAGGTAAGGATATTGTCCTGTCAGGCACTATTGATACCTTGAAGAATGGGTGATAAGGGGCGTTGTTTGAGTTCCATTAAGGACTTTTAGATTTGCACGACGACATAGTGGATGGCTACGTGTGACGTCAATTTAAGGTACTGTGATGTCCTTTTAAGGCACTGCCAGCGCCTAAAAAGAGACGTCACACGTAACAGTCCACTATGTCGACGAGAAAACTCCCTATTATGAGTCCAAAGACGCCACACCAATTCAGTTCGTTAAATTAATTTCCAAATTGTTCGCCATCTTTTTCTTCAATGTGTCCATAGCTTCAGCGCGTGAACCATTCCTGGGAGAAGTACGGCCAGAATCTATCCGCCAAGCACCAGATCGAACTGAAGAAGAAAACTGCCCAACTGGCTGCTTCGGACGAACGTCGTAAGGATCTCGAGAAACGATTGGATGAGAAGTTCAAAGAATACGACCAGACACTTATGCATGCCAGGCACTCTGAAGGACAACAAAAGGTATTACCCTAGCCGCACCTCAGTCACATCTTAGTCACTCCGCCGAATCAACTCCACCCAGACCCCAAACCGACGAGTGTTAAAGTGACTCGGTAACATTGCCTCAGATTCTGAAATAAAATCCTGGATTTAGCTCATGCTGCAATCATAATTATAAATCTTTAGGTCAGTCAGGAATCACATGACTTTGACAAGCCGATCGCCTGTCTGATTATCAAGATATTTATGATTGGAACTCGAAATTTTATTTTTCGTTTTTCTGACGGTTTTTATAACACTACAGTCTATTAGGAAAAATGAGTAAGGTAAAACCGGTCACTCAAAGATTTTTACTTTTTTAATGCACTTCTTGATCATTTTGAAGCGCAAATTTTTCAGGGCTTCAATATTACACCATATCACCGACACTGATAACACGTAGGGCCATGCATCTCAGATTTAACATTGTTAAACGATGGCTTTAAGGGCTTAACAGACGAAATCTTGGCCATTAGGGTTAATACAATTTTATGTCCGGTCTGTCGTCGGTCTTGTGTCGGTCTCGTTGGTGTAACTGAGGTATCACGGTTGCATGACACTTGACCTTTCAACTTCCGGTCCGCGTCATTTCCCATATACTAACCGATTTTTTATTTTACCGGAACTCTTGATTCGTCACTATACTTAACCCTTAACCTATCTTTAAACCCATTTACAATCCCCTTTTTTACATTTTAAACAATGAATTTCTCTTCTTTTTTTTATTTTTAAGAATTAAATATTGCCTTTCTTCTCTTTCCACCTTTTCATACTTTAAACAATGACTTTCTATATTTTAGTTTTTTAATTATGCTATAAGCAAAACCACGTTGCAATCAAAATATTCCGATGAAAAAAGTCTTCTGATAACTCCTCCTAAAACCTTTGCCTCATCACAAATTTAGGCTGCTGCTGAGCAGTACAAGAAAGACCGGGATGCCCTCGGAAAGAAATATGGCGACTTGACAACCAAACTGCGTGAATGGATCAAGGAGAAAGAGGATAAAGATAATGAAATCAAGCGACTCAACAAGGTATTTATTTTAAGATAATCTTGAACTCTGGTAAAGATTTTGAAAATATTAATTTCACAGAATCCAACGAAACTTACAATGCAAGTTCAAGAATACAAATTATTGACATGTGCCAAACGATTTTGGAAGAAATTGTTTTAGGGGCTCAGTAGTGAGCATAGAAAAGTCAAATTGAGTAAGTCTGACACCATGTGCTTAACAATAACACAGGTTACTATGTTTAAATGGATTTTATTGAAGATGATTTCCAGCAAGATTTTGTAAGTTTTATTTTATTTTACTGGTTCAAACAACCAATCTACTGCAGGATAAAGCAATCCAGAATGAATCATATCTGGACATACAATTTCCATACCAGAGCTAAAGACTAGCCTTGAATAGAAATAGGCGTATGGATACAATTTTCAAGGAAGAGGGTAGCGTCTCGACTCTCGAATATTTTTTCAATTTTATTACGTTGAAAACGTGCGTTCATCTCCACGTCGTCGTCCGAATTGTGAAGTTTGGTGACAAACCCCCTCTGTAACCAATGATCTCAGAATATGATATCGTATTTGTCTTAAAACTTAATATGCCTGCAAGCACAATCCATCAGGGGGTGGAATTTCGTTAAAAAAATTACAATTTAATAAGGCGAAATTGTTAATTTGATTGCCCGAATATGAAGTTTGGTGAAATACCCCCACCCTCCAAAAAAAAAATGGTTCTTATGATGAACAACGTGCATTTTTGCCTTAAACGGCAATTGGTGTACGGACACAATTTATTATGGAGTGTGGATTAACTTTTCGCTTTTTTGACATTTTGTATTACACTGAAAATGTGCAACACAATGTCATAATATTAGATATAACGCCCCCACCCCACCCTCCCGTAGACAAATCTGCCTTCACATCTCAGCCTATTATGTTTGACCGTAATGACAACAATCGACAATTTTACCTTGTGTCACCTTAACTCAATGTTCAAGTGTGCAATTAGTAGGTGAATACGTTTAATTGGAATACATTTGAAGGGGTGTAGATCATGAATGTTCTTTACAAATTTTCCGTTATTTAAATCGTCAACGGTAGATCAACATCCACATGGCGCAAAAAAAATTATGAACTGGGGCACGTGTCATGAAGCATTGCACCATCACTGCACACACAGAATGAACATTGAAGATTGGGAATTTGGGAAACACCAAAACAGAGCATGAGAACTAAAAGATTTCAAAACCCAGCTACTTCTCTTCCAAATTGAAGAACGTTTCCGTTTTCTTTTCATAGGTTGTGGAACGACAGGCCGCACAGAAACCAATCTACGCCAATGCGTATGCCGAAGAAGAATTGGGATGCACTGGTCACACCAAAGCCGCCAGGAAGTTTCCCCGGGAGGTGGTAAACGTTACGGCCGCTACCCTCTACCCGAATCTGGATGACGATGTGGTGGTGGTGATCGGGAAGGAAAAACAGGTGAGAGAGTCGACGTCACCGCGTCCGAGATCGCCCCGCTCACCGCCCCGGTCACCCCCGGCAGAACCCCAACGCAACCCCATGACTTTAGGAAAGGAGGAACTCAAGGGCCAGATGGAACTCTATCGTCAACAGGTAAGAATCTATACTTTTGCTCCTTTTGTCAACATGTTCAATTTGTTCACCAACATGTAATTTATTTTCACCTTCAACGAGGCTTATTGATGATTTTAAAGATTGTAAATATAGTGCATGATCGGGCCCATTTAGGTCTCGGTTAAGTAACGACATTTTCAGACAAAATTAATATCAGAAACCAAAAGAAATTATTAAAAAATATCTACAACTAATGAAATAGAAATGTTGGGAAGAATTAATCATTTAAAAACACGAGGTTGACTATGGATAAAACACGGATACTGTATATGAAAGTCTTATTTTAAACGCTCAAATCGGCCAAAGATTCCCAACTTTTTAAAAAGACATCACTGAAGTTAAATTACAAGGATTCAGAGAAGAGATAAACTGACCTTGCTGTTAGTGAGCCTCTCCTTTGAAGCAAACGTCCTTTGAAGGGAGACGTCAGGTGTCATTCTGTAGTGTAGAGGAAATACAAATGGCAACGAAAGCGACTTCGAACCCGTGGATGATGAGGAGATCGTGAATGCAGAAGACGATGATAAGCAAGGCGTGTTCATTGGTGATTGGAAAGGAGGTTTCTGGCGTGATATCAGTGGGAAAGATACGAACTTCGTCTCCATAGATGATCACGATTTCATGAACGCCTTAGACGGATAAAAGCAAGGCGTGTTAATTGGTGATTGGAGAGGAGGTTTCCGGCGTGATATCGTAGAAGAAATACGTACGTGGCAAAGATACCGACTTCGTCTCCGTAGATGATCACGATTTCATGAACGCATAAGACGGAGATTAGCAAGGCGTGTTCATTGGTGATTGGAGAAGAGGTGTCTGACGTCATACCGTGTAAAGAAATACAGTGGGAAAGATACCGACTTCGTCTCCGTAGATGATCACGATTTACTGGACGCGTTAGATATTAAATATTACCAAGGCATGTTCATTGGAGATTGATGAAGATGTGTCGGGCGTGTTATCGTAGAAGAAATACAGTGGCAAAGGATCCGACTTCGTCTCCGCGAATGTTTACAAGATCATTGACGCAAAATGCGGACAATGAATGAAGAAAAGTCATTGGAGAGAAGATGTCGGGCGTCATTCCGTATAGGAAATACTATGGCAAAGACACCGACTTCATGCACGTGGATGAACACGAGATCATGAACGTATGATGTGGACATTGAATGAATAAAAAAGAGTAATTGGAGAGGAGATGTCGGGCGTTTTTCCGTAAAGGAAATAAAAAAAAATGACAAAGAAACCGAGTATGACCACTCGGAATTGTTTGATAAGTTGATAAACGTAGATGTACCGTGAAAACGGCATGAAACGTAAAAGAAGAGCGACGAAATGGCAGGAGCTATAGTTGTAGCAAAGAGCCGGCGTGAAGAGGCGTTGTAGATGATGGAACACCGTCAAACCCCATGAGAACGGGAAGAACGACAAGAACGGCGATGAACGGCGAGGAATGACGAGAACGACGAGTACGGCGGGGAACGGCGAGTAACGGTCAAGAAATGGCAAATCGTATGACAACGCGATGAAAGACAGTTGAGGGTCAAGAGCATTGAGATATGGTCGATACAGATTTATCTATTGTGAGAAAAAACGGCTGAGAACGAAAAAAGACAGCCAAAGAGTAAACGAAAAGTATATATCTAGAATGTTTTAAAGCTTCCATGTTTCTTTTCTGTCGCATTTGTGAAAGATGCGAGCCTGAATTTGCTTAAATCAAATCATGTTATCGCAGAGTTCCAGAGTTTGCGCCTCATAATGAAGAAGATGTATTCATAATATCGTTAATATATAGTCGGAAGAGTCCGAATATTATCTCTTTCAAGAAATAAAATCCTTTATCGCGAAATAAAAACAAAGTACAGCGATTGATAGCCGTAATACATCTCTAACCAACGCGATTGCCTTGGAGTTCAGGCAACACGTCGGAGTGGAGACTACATTAGTGCCTCATCTATCACGTAAAAGAAATGAGCTAACACGCATGCAGGCATCATTATATAAACTTTAAAATCTTGGAAAATCCTTCCAATTAAAGTGGAAAAAACATAAACCAAGGAACAACATTAGTGTATCGCATAAATAAATTTAGTTGACACGCCTGCATTCATCTCTTATGCCTAATATGATGAAGAGATTATTACGAAATCATCCAAATTCAAGGGAAATTATCATCAAATGAACTAACGAACCAAGACTCAAAATGAGTAATTCGTCATGATTTTTGGTATCTTTAGCGTTTTGATATTACTAGACACTTTATCAAATTATTACGAAGTTCTTGGTGGTGATGAGATCAGACCCATTATTCTTGCGTGTGGGGATTTTGTTTTTGTCTTTGGCGTTTCAACTCAACTTCTAGCTCGATTTTTAATATGCGTATGAACTCCTGGCATCCTCATCTGTTTGTACAAGTGCGTTTCCGTTGATACTTTTTTATGATAATCATTGCATCATTATTATAAAGGTGCGGGTTATAGAGATAGTAAGGAATGGACTGGTATTTTTTTTAGTAGAAATTAAATTCAACATTCAATTTTGGATAAAGAAAACTAAAGGTTGATTTGATTCATATAATTAAACACTATTTACTAAGCTTGCAGTATAATTATCAAAGGGATAGTGCTCTACAGCTCGACTTTGATAAGTGTTTTATAAACGAAAGAAAAAATGTATATTAAAGGTACTATGTCTCATTTGCAGGCCAAAAAAATGAAAAAGTTAAATTCCAACTGCATTTGAAAGATTATTGATGTAGACAAATGCTCATGCACCCTTTACAACTCTTTTCATGTATGTTATTACCAAAGAAGAAAAAAGCCAGCCAGTCACTCAATAGTGTCTGACAGTGAAGTCTAGCAAGTAAACGGGTTTCCTTGCATAATTTGAATATGAGGACACTGCTAAAGTTTAAATTTCACAGATAGGACATACATGACATGTTCATAATTCCTACAAAGTTCTACAGCATTTGAGGTTGGGTGCAAAAGGGACATAGTACCTTTAAAGAAATAAAACATAATGACGTAGGAATGGAAGACCACGTGACGAAGCTTGAAGCTGCAGAGATTAGATGTCTGAGATGAGTGACAGGTGTAAGAAAGTTAAAGACCTAAAAAGATTAAGATTTATACAAAGAACGACATTTACAAAAACTATTTCCACTCTTTATTTCATTTGATGTTATGGGAATCACCCAGTCTTCAGAATGCAAATGCATGCAAACTACCTATACTGTCATCATCGGCATTACAACATCGCCGGCAACATCGGAACTGAATGATTATGTCATTAAAAAATCACCCATCTGGTAATTTTAGTCGCAGGAAAGTCCCGAATCGTTGCTCTTATTTCAAAATTAGATGCTCCATTATCACAACACCGCGATAACCAACGCCCTATCGCATGAATGTTTCATCATCCCCATCGTCACGTTTTCATTTCCATGTTGATGTAAACCGAACAACTTTACATCAAGTAACATAAATAAGAAGTTTGTAAGACCATTATAAAAAAAAAAATCTTCCTTTAATCGATAAAATTTGTTCGCTGCCGTTTCTCCATACTACTACAGCATTATAAGCAATAACTAACTGAAATGATTGCTAACCCTATAATTACATTGCGTTTTAAAATTATGATTGTTTGTTAGAGGCCTATGTAGCTGCTAAGATTTTCTTGTTCTTTTTTATTTTCCTTTTCTAACTGATTTTACTACACTTGTCAGTAATTGTTGTAGATCCACCTATCCATCGATGTATTTCTCCTCAAAATGTATGCATTTTTCCCACCCCCCTCTCTTTCCGTTTCTCCCCTAATGATTTTTTTCTTCCTATTTATGTTATTTCTAGGACCATCATGTAAAACAGCCTGAGAGCTAATCAATGTTATCCTGTTGAAAGATGTTTCAATAAATAGATAAATAAATAAATATTACTAGAGGCGGATCCAGGATCTAGTAAAACAAGGGGCACATTCCTAAATCTGCTGACAAGCAAAATAAAAGAAAAACAAGAAGAATACATATGATAGAACAGTAGAAGTTGTAGTAGTGGTAGTAATAGTGATGGTGGTGGTAGTGGTAGTAGTAGTATTAGTAGTAGTAGTAGTAGTAGTAGTAGTAGTAGTAGTAGTAGTAGTAGTAGTAGTAGTAGTAGTATAAGTAGTATAATAGATGAAGAAGAAAAAGAAGAAGAAAAAGAAGAAGTAGGAATAAAATAAAGATAAAAAAGGCGGCACAAAAGTTATTCGGGTCACAACGTGGGAATCGTGTAATGAAACTTTGTCACTTGGGTTTTAAGGGGGGAGGGGGATGGGCATGGACCGGATAGGCCCCGACTATAATCTGCCACTTTATAATCCTATAGACACAGCACACAATAACAAAATTGATGTAAATGTGTTGTATGGGCAAATTAATATCAACAGGAACCGGAAAATACCGATTGTTAATGTTATAGCCTGACTTCTTTGGTCTTTGACAAGATTGTATTATGTTGAACTGTTTGGCATGAAGTGAGGGTGGAGAAGATAGATATATAGATAAAGTCATACGCAAATTCCATATATGTCTACTTGAATGTAACCTTTGATTAAATGTCATTTATTTAAAAATACATCTTAAAACAACTGGTCTAATACGATTATATAGGGATGACTTGAGCATTACGTGCAACATTTATTAAACTTTTTAGAACTCTTTTTTTTTCAGTTTTGATTATCATAATAGCCACATTGGGCTCATTTTGAATATACAGTGATATTAGGCATTAAAATCATTATGATTGATAAGAATATAATATTACTGGTAACCAACCGGCAGAAAGAAATAACTGCCCAACTCATATCTAGACAACAAACAATAAATAGACAAGTAATTTTTCTGGTAAATTTTAGTTTTGTAAAAGCATTCATGATTATGGATGTGTTCTAACAAACACAATCGTATGTACGCAGTATAAATGGGCGGTGGTGCTTCAATGCATAGCTGTACATACACAAATATACTGTTTGTTATTCGCGTTGACTATAACTCAGTGCATTTGTAAATAGACTTGTGTTTGTATACTGCCAGTCATGGGTGATAGGAAAACAACCAAATGGGATTCCCCTGGTTATAAGTGGAGGCTACATCACCATATGTTTATTGAGTTAACCGTATTTCCAGTCTTGTGACTTACCATGACGTAAATACATGACGATATTACTGGGAATACAATAATAGATCCAGCATACGGGCATATAAGGTTTCAGCTGCTATTTACATCACGAATTTTGATATTCACTGATCTCAAGGTTTACTTGTTTGTGTATATCAGGAAACGTAGCTCGCATATTACCTGAATATTTGGTGTTTACAAAACAGAAGTCTACCATAACATTATTTGAAGAAAATAAAAATCATGTACAATACATACGGGAACAATATGAATATTGATAAGCCTTTTCAAATGTGCATTATTTCAAAAGAGATTTAAATAAATTATTCAGAAAAAGATCAACGGTAAGACATATTAATACATTTGGTTGACACTATAGCTGCTTTAGGAGACAAATCACAAGTGGGTAAATTATGAGAATATGTTGGTTAAAAACTTATGAAATAACGAACAAAAAAGAAACTTATACCCTTAGAAATAGCATAAAAGTTGTTCTCTATAAAGCATTATACTATTTTATGAAATAGATTCTTTGAATCATATTTGTATCACTTATCATCCGTTGGAATGTCAATGCTTTACTTTGACTTTTGCCTTTTCTGTGGTTAGTTGAATTTGTTGCATTAAAGATAAAGTTGAGTTCTGGTCATGCGATTGCATTGTGAAAGAAACGGTGTGGAATCGACCAGAAAAGGTTGATCATCTAGCATATAAGTATTTGTGTGTATTGCAAGGTTCTGGAAACATCAAAATGATAAGAAATTTGGCCAAGTCGTAGTAAAGTTGCAAGCACTGTACACATAAAGATGTATAGGGGACTACACGAACATGTGGCGTAAAAATCCGTCCCGATTTTTACGATGTTACATGCCATATTTATAATATGAAGGCATTTGAAGAGCCATGTTTTTCAGGGAACATGGTTTATCTGTTGTTCTTCCACATTTGGATAATAACAATGATAACGCTCACAAATTATTTTCCACCTCTTCCGAGAACTCAACCTTCTCTTTAATTCATATTTTAATTCAAATTTATAATAACCAAACCTTTACAAAGTATTACCCGAAAAAAATGTAATTATATATCCTACGTCTGATGGCTCGTGATTATCATCCTGTACAAGGAACGAAATCGTGTTTTTGGTTACGCCCGACATTTACATAATTTTGCACAAAATGTCAACCATGCCAATCAAAATTCCATCCTACGTATTGATTACTAAAGCAAATTGGTATTGTGCAAACTCTGTTTAGTTGGGGAATTTCCGTGTCAGTATAGGTCATATTAGGGACTTTTAGATTCTGCACGAAGAGAACGTGAACTGCCCTTTTAAGGCAATGTGACGTCACTGCCAGTGCCTTAAAAGAGCAGTCCACGTTCTCCGTTGTGCAAATCTAAAAGTCCCTAGCGCCTGCAATGTGAGACTACATTGGGCTCTGTACACTTTAGCTGCTTTGGACACAGCCATAAACTGAAATATCTAGGCTCTGCTCAAGGCTTTATGAATTATGGTGATTGTGTCAAAATTAGAGTCTGTGTTTGCAGACTAATATTGAACGGTGTCAACACATCCACGTATACCACGTAAATTCAAGAAACAAAATGCTCGCCGCAAAAAAGAAGAAGAAGATCTTGACGAAAGTCTTGTTTTTCCTTTCAAGTTTAAGTGCATTTACTTCCAAATTATGTCCTGTATCAAATATATAACAACAATATTTGTAAAAAACATTACAAAATATATAAATTTAAATCAATATTACAAATATCATACAAAAAGAAAGTTATATAACATACGCTTTACAATCGTCATTAAAAAAATAATCAAATGGATCAGAAACTCGATCCTGATTGTAATGCAGTTTTATTACGAAAAGACGGTGGATTTGCTCTCTATAGGGCATGACCCGAGAAAAATAATTGTGTATAATCATGTTCAATGTAGTGGTTATTCTTGATTTAATGTACGTTTGGTCCAAACAGGAAAACCTCCCAATAACAGGAAAGGATAATAATTTTAGTACACGTTTAACCGATTAGGAAATAATGGGATGTCAATGATTTACGAAGTGAGTCTGGCTAAAAATAAAGAGAAAGATACAACACAGCAATATTAGACGTGGCACAATCGAATACTCATTTTCTAAATAATCATATATCATTAAGCTATTTCAACTGTAATGTCAATAGAAATATATTGATTACGTCGCAATTATGTGAATAAATCATGTTAATATTACAGAACATACACGTAGTGTATGTTTGGCTGAGCTATTCACAAATTACAACTTTTTTCAAACAATTGATCTGTTACTCTTTTTTTGTTTTAATCATAACAGATTGATATTTTCCGGACTGATTTCATCCAAGAAAGGCGTGATCGAGAGAAGGCAGCCGGACAGGTCGATACGTTGAAGAAGGAGCTGGAGAAAACCAAGAAGAAACTGGAAGAAATGCAAAAGGTGAGGTCTAGTCTACAAGTACACTATGGTATATAATTATGGGGGAGGAAAACATGTAAGCAATTGACCACTGTGTAAAATCTGTGAGTTTTTGTTTGCGAAATGTGCAGAATCTGCAAAATAATAATGACCTTTGGAGGGAAGGTGATTACTGCCAACTCGTTATTTTCATAATGGCTCAATTTGGGCGATGGTGTACAGACTTCCTTTAAATTCAACGGAAAAGGACAATTAGATATATATTTTTTAATTCTACACTTTAAATATAATCTATATCCCCAGAAGAAAGAAGAACAGAAAATATTTAAGGGGTGTATGATGAAAAGCCACCCAAGTTCCCTATTGACGGAAGTATTATTAATGCCATACTCGAATAAATACCTATAATATTCAGGATCCGTTTGTACTTAATTTAATATGGATTTTCGATCTTTAATTTGATGAACATTTTGCTGTCGTTTGATTTTATCAGAACCGATTGGAACATGATTTGTACGGACTCGGTCAAGACTTCGTGCCGAGAAGGCCACGTGAGGAAACACAGGTAATTTTCATAATAATTTAATCACCATTTTGATAATTGAGTATTATTTTCTCCATGGTAGCCAAATTAGTATTAATACTGCTTTTACAAAAACAAAATTCGACAAGTTCGATCATATAATATATCAACAGGTAAAACCATGCAATACAAATTAACCAATGGCTAAACAATGATCATCACTGCCGCCCTAACTTCAGGGCAGCAAAATACAATAATGACAAAAGGAATAATATTTCGTGCTATAAACAAATTGATGCTTATTATATTTTTTTTCAATCTTGGTAGAAGGTGCGAGGCGGAAGAAACTTAGGCTATGGGAGACAGTATGCCTACCAGCAGCAATACGTGGATCTAGAAGACGTAAGTTAGAACTTTCTTCTTTTTTTGTTCTTTGTTGAAAGTCTTGCCTCTTCTGCCCAAATGCCCAAAGAACTACAAGCGATTGAAAACGACGATAAGTCGAAATGATGCTTGATATCTTTTTATAATTTTTATCTCTCGCGTTTGTTAGAATGAAATATCTTTACAGACCGAAAGAATTTACATGATTATAGATAACAATAACAAAGTGCATATTAGAAGCCGTGTATTGCATTGTTTTGGGAAAAAAGTCCCTTTTTACTTTCATTTTCGGCTCTCCCTCCCTGTCTTCTCCACCCCAGCCCCTCCCATTTCTCTCTCCCCTTCTGATGATGCGTTATCAGGGCCTCGTCTTACAAAGAGTTACGATTGATCCAAATCAATCTCAAGCCCTCTAATCAATCGCAAGTTTGCAGTCTTATATTTCTCCTATAAACATAGTTGCGATTAATATCAATCGCATATAAGTTGCGATTGGTATCAACTTTTTGTAAGACGGGGCCCAGGTGTATCATGCCTTTTGAACAAGAGACGTCATTTCGGTTCTGTTAGCCCATACACCGGTTATTATTTTAAAGGGGCACGTTCCCGCCAGTGTAGTTATCGGAAAATGCCATCTGCGTAAGAGCCGTATTTTGTTGGTGTCAATAGGCAGCTATAGCACCGTCCGCCAGCGCGTACGTATTTTGAACGCCCTCTGGAATACGGGGAACATGCCCCTTTAACGCAATGTTTGATTAATCGTTCATCTTGCATTCACTTTGGTTGTGATGTCATTCTTACACGGTGCGTCAAAGACCACTCTGACGCAGTCATCCGTCAGCAAAATAACACATAGTTTGCAAAAGCCCTGACGATAAGATTATATCTAACAGTTTTTTTTGTAATATATATTTTTTCTCCAATTTGTTTCTTCTCACTGCATTATAGAACCACGTGTACTCTGTGATCGATAACTAGCGAGTGAAAAAACCGCGAAGCAGAGTCTCCAACTCCGTCAACGTGGTCATCGACCACTCTTTCCCTTTCGAGTACGCACACGGCCAGGGATATGGGGGCGACCATGCAGCGGGCCCGGAAAGTTCCCGAGCCACTCTCTGTCTCCTATTGGAAGAGGGCTTTGTAGAAACCCTCATTACGGCACTGTCGCCGTTGGCCTTGTGTAGTTTATGTTCCAACTTACGTGGTGTTCGTAGATACGAACCAAATGAGTTGCGCCAAACGTACGATTTTCGACGATGTTTCAAGGCAGAACGCCATTGTTCACTTAATACGATATTAATGACCTTACGAGAATTCCGATATAGTATATTTAAACATACGTTGTTATGACATAAACACACAAATAACATCCCCATTATATCCTAAGTCATTCTATCAATGCTTATATCAATGTTGTATAGTAACATAAATCCCAGTAAGAAAACTCGGAATATTTATCATAAAAGTTATTTAACATAACTCTTGTTTAACGAGAAAGTAAACGCTATATTGAACGCGTGACGTGATATTACTATATTTTTATTTACAGAACATTTATGTACCTTCATAACTTTAGTTTAATTTCATCATTATTGAGATATTTAACGATAGTATTATGATATAAATTTATATTTTCTTGTGGATTCTCTTGACCTATATCTTGGCTGTAGAATGTCATTAATAGGAATGCCCCTTTCTTTCAAAACGAAGAAATCCAAAGTATATTGAAGATGATACCCAAATGTTATACATATTATTAAAAGGTGTTTGGATATTCAATAAAACATATATATTCATTAAACAAACAAACAAACAAACATAAGTTATACATAATATATTAAGAAGGTGTTCGGATCTTTAGTTTTGTCGGGATAATCATTGGCCTTCGGGCAATGATCTTTTAATACTTAATATTTGGCGCAGCTTAATATAGCCTTTCCGAAAAATACACGAATGAAATCTGTTTTTATGAATATTATATTTAGAGATTTTGATTTATTTCCAGAGATTTCTGGGGAATTGCATCGCGTTTTAATATTTTGATGGCCAAGAATGTCATATTTATGAACACGCTTCGCGATGGTCATAGTAATACCACATTCTTGGCAATCAAAAATATGTTTGTATTCCTTCAACTGCAGGACTTATTGTTCTCGGTACCATCCTCATCTCATTGTTTTTTTTATTTAGTATATACCTATATTTGGTTTATTGATGTTTTTTTTTAATTGTTGCTATTGTTCATCGTTTATTAGAAATGCGAAGATGATGAGGATGGTATTATTCAAAAGTGTACTGCCACTTTTACCACTTTTACCACTTGTACAACTCCTCCTCCAACTTCTTCTTCTTCTTTTTATTCTTTTTTCATAACTTTTCTAATACCAATGCTAAACCTCGCCCAATTTTTCATTTCACACTTGTCTATCTATATCTTTCCCTTTCAACCTTCATAACGTATACATATATTTTTTTTATTGACTGATACTACATATTATTCTAACTTGTACTATACTTATATAACCGCTATTGTTTTATTTCAGGTTTTTTTTCTAAAACATTAGTTTTTTCTTATTTGTTTTATTGTTATTTATCTTGTTTTTTATTAACTGATATTATTATTCTGTCAGAATTATTGCTGTTATAACTTGTATTATACCAACATCGCCGTTATTGTTTTATATTCAGGTAAACAATTTTTCAAAAATGATATCGTATTAGTTTTATTGATATTTATTAACTTATATTATTATTCTAACAACTGATATTATTATTATCAGCATTATCTCTATAATAACTTGATTTTCCTAATTGTTTTATTTCCAGGTAAAACAAAGTGTTCAGATTTAAGATTTTATTACCATACTTGCTATTTTTATTTTATTTTTTCTTTTTTAAATTCAAGTTTGTATTGTTATTCCACAATTGAAATATCTGACCAAAAGTTCATGGTGATAAACCGTGCTCCTATCTAAATAATGATAAAAGATTCAAAATTCCATATTTTTTATTCAAACTTAGAAAGACGATAAAGGGAAAGTCGAAAATGTTTTTTTTTAATTACTCTCTTGTAACAGAGTAAGTTACAGGACTCCTTTGATTTGTATTTGCCTCTTCACTAACAAAAACTTATTATATATTTTAAATGACAATATAGATGTGCATGAATTATGATTGAGCTTCAAAAAATCAAATGGTTTTGAAGTGAAAAAATATGCGAAGTAATAGAAGACTTCGGATAATAATCATTGAGGGGATTTAGTGATAAGAAAAAAAGATAATTATGATGTGATGAGACGATAGATAATTGATACATAATATTATTATTATTTTTTTTCATTTTTTTTAACTTTAATAGGATTTTGAAATAATTTAATGGGAGCATTATTATAAAAAATTAAGAACCAATATGAATGGGAAGTAGACAAGGAGCTTTATTTTAACTCCGAACGAAATCCCGTGAGGGTTAAGACGCGTACATGAGTGCGTGTGCGTTTGGGTGTGTGGGTGTGGGTGCGTGGGAGGTGCACTGGGAAGTTTATGTGGCGGGGAAATGTGTAGGGTATAATGAATCGCATATATGTGATAAAAGCGGGCTGATGATAACGATACAAGATTAAAATGTATAGATGATAATGATGACGAATGATGATGATTTATGATAATGATAACAACGAAATGATTGTTACCCTCTTCGTTAAAATAACGGCATCGATTTTTCAAGGGATATATTTTGTTTCATTCATTGCGCATCGTTTCAGGAGAAACTTATAAACTTAAAAATCAAAACAAACATATAAATAAGAGGGTAAATGATATTTTTTAAAGTCATGTTGATGTGTGGTAAATTCATGGTAAATAAATAAAAGTGATATACGTTTCGTAATCGCTTACCCGAATTCATTTAGGGTTGGATCGCTATAATGTTTTCATTAATGAAAATAATAACGAAAACAAAACTTGATATTAATGAATGTGTGAAGTATTTCACGTAATTATATTTGAAAATGATCAATAGATCATTTTCGTAATGCAATTAAATTTAATTCATACATCTTTGTTAAGTGCCCTGTTACAAATAATTCCATTCACCTGTTACAAATAACTATATTTTAATAGTGAGATAGCGAATTGCATACATTAATTGTTGCTAGGTACGACAAACATTATGGCTTGTCCTACCTAACAACATGTTATGTATGCAAATCGCATTCTGACTATTGAAATACAATTATTCGTAACAGGTGAATGAAATAATCCGTAACGAGTTCCTTTACAAAAATTTCTGCAATAAGTTTGATCGCATTATCAAAATGGTCAATAGAAAGCTTTTAATATGCCATTCTAAAGCTTATGAAAATAAAATTGAGCTAGAATTGAAATTAAAGAAAGTGGTGATGGTTATGTAAATACATGTATCTCCTTACTGTAAGTAGTAGTATTAGAATCGTGACGCTGTGCGGACGATTTAGAATAGAAATTTCATTTTGTTTTTGTTTTTCTTAAATTCTTATTACATTTGTTTGCCATTGTTTGTTTTGCTGTGCATTGAATTGCTATTTGAAAGCATGTTAATCTTATACTAGGATAATATTGATAACTAAATAACATCATTTTAAAAAATCGATGATACATTTGAGCAAACAAAAAACGAGAGTTTGTAAAAACTTTGATTGATAAAAAGACCACATTCAGAACTTATATAGTAAATTATATGACTTTTATATTTCGATGATTAAAAAAATACAATGGACAATTTGCATATGCTCTACACAATTTTGAGTTTATATAGAAACATAAACATGACATTAAAAAAATATAAATCAATATAAAATAAGCATAATTATAGTGACTTACAATTAAGAAATACCAAATTGCGCGTATATAATAAAGGCCATTGTAACTGCGTGTTAAGAAAAAAAAAGTGCTTTTTGAGAGAAAAAGTAAATTCATAGGTATTTTTACGTTCGTAGAGCAAAACATGAACACTTTTTTCGTAAACAAGTTGCGGAATTCGTATTCTTTAATTATTGAACGCTTTAGTGGCGAGCAAAATATTTAAGAAAGTATATATCAATTTGCAGTGTCAAGCTGACAGTTGTAAAGTCTGCATTTCTCCAGTTCATAAAAATATCGGTATTGTGTTTTATGTGTTTGAGATTAGACTGTAATAGTGTGTTATCTGTTATCAAACAATCTAAAATCTTTATAAAAAAAGAAGTGATAGTTGTGAGTTTTTGTGTTGGTTATTTTCGATGTGATGACATAAATAAGGTCATTTTTGTTAAGGTTGAATGCAGTGTATTCATTGTGAGTTTAAAGTGTTGTTTGAGATTTTAGTGAGGAATTGCGGAATTGCATTTTGTCGTAGTCTATATAAGCTGATACTTAAACATATTTCGTAGAACTGTAATGACTATATTACTAAAATTACTATATTCGTGTTCTTTTTCCATGGTATACGTATAATAAGAGATCATTCATATCCGTAGATTAATTATGATGTTTTCGCCATTTACAGAATTAAAGTGGTAATATTATCTTCATGTATCTTCATTTATCCTTGGATTTTTGTTGTTGGTAAAGCAAGATGCTAAGCAGTTATTATACGACGAAAAGCAAGATGGCGCGCATGTAAGAAAAACAACTATGTTATATTTTACATTATCTATATCTACTATTATGAGCATGCAGGTAGTTATTGAGTAATTTAAGAGAAATTCTAGAACTTTGTGCGAGAGTAAAAAGTTGACTTTGTTGTTAACCAGTTTGCCTATTTCTACTGTAAACTATAAGTAATATATGTGTTAGCGAGATTATTCCATTTTAGAAATTATAGCATTTATGCAAACGCGTTTATTTACATATCAATTCGGTGGTTGAAGCATTTATTTTGCTAATTATAGGCCTATATAGCGTATTATGAGAAATAACTAAGACAACTTAACAGAAATACGAGAGTAAAAAGTTTACTTTGTTGTTAACTAGTATGCCTATTTCTACTGTAAGCTGCAAAAAAAATTGTATATGCTAACCAGATAGCTACATTTGAGAGAGTATATCGCTAACGCAAGCGCGTTCATTTACATATCGACAATTCGATGATTAAGCATGACTTGTATCTTGACATTACTGTAGGCATATACAGTGCGTCCCAGAAAAAACGAAACCGAGAATTATGATGATTTATCATAACTTAGTCACATTTATAATAATTAATAAATGACACATATTTGGAAAGCTTAGATCCTCCTCTTTTGTCTTATGCAACTCATATGATGCATATTTCACGCATGAGTGATTAAAATGAATTTGAAGAGAGGAAACCAAAAGTCATATGGCGGACGGTATGTGAATTCCAAGGAGAAAATCACATTTCTAGAAAGTTGAGATTCTGCTCTTTTATATGACACCTCAATCAGGAAACATGAGCAGGAAATGACCAAGTTCTGTTTGTTTAAAGTAGTGCTTGCATTTCCAGAATTTTATCAAACGAATTCGTTTTCACTGGCTGCCTGCTGTAGCAATTAGCAGAATTGACATCAGACTTAACTCCGTTTCGTTGACAATCAGCCATGCATGACGACTTTCATCTACGGCTGATTGTCAACGAAACGGAGTTAAGTCTTTTGTCAACTCTGTTTGCTGCTACGACAGGCAGCCAGTGAAAACGAATTCGTTTGATAAAATTATGGAAATGCAAGCACTACTTTAAACAAACAGAATCTTGTCATTCCTTGCTCATTTTTCCTGATTGAGGTGTCATATGAAAGGGCAGAAACTCAACTTTCTAGACATGTAATTTTCTCCTTGAAATTCAGATACCGTCCGCCAAATGAATTTTTGGTTCCTCACTTCAAATTCATTTTAATCACTCATGCGTGAAATTTGCATCATATGAGTTGCATTAGACGAAAGAGGAGGATCTAAGCTTTCCAAATAATTATGGGTCATTTATCAATTATAAATGTGATTACGTTATGATAAAACATCGAAAATTCTCGGTTTATTTTTTTCTGGGACGCACTTTAGTGTGATTGATTCAAAAGATATTCTAGAACTTTGTGCGAGAGTAAAAAGTTGACTTTGTTGTTAACTAGTATGCCTATTTGTAATGTACTGTAAGCTGTAAGAAACGTTTATGTTAACCAGATAGTTCAATTTAAGAAAGTATATTGCTAACGTAAACATGTTCATTTACATATCGACAATTTGACGATTTAAGCATTTATTTTGACAACTATAGGGCTATATAGGGTATTATGAGAAATAAGTAAGACAATTTTACGGAAATACGAAAGTAAAAAGTTGACCTTGATGTTAACTAGTATGCCTATTTGTAATGTACTGTAAGCTGTAAGAAATGT